CAGGATGCCCGTGATGAAACCCTCCACGCCGACAAACTGCGGCAGAGAGCGGAGCTCAGTGGGGACATGCCACCCCCGTCCCCTCCCCATCCCCATCCCCCTGCACCCCGCTGCACCTGGCTGTCCAGCCCCAGCACGAGGAGCATGAAGAAGAAGAGCGTGGCCCAGAGCGGGGACAAGGGCATCAGCGTCACGGCTTTTGGGTAGGCGATGAAAGCCAGCCCGGGGCCTGCGGGAGAGCGGGGTCAGCGGTGCCACCCCGGGGGGGGGACGACACAGGGGACACGGTGCCAGCGGGCACCTGCTGGCCAGCACTCACCGGACTCGGCCACTTTGGAGATGTCCACGCCTTGCTCGGATGCCATGAAGCCCAGCACGGAGAAGACGACGAAGCCGGCAAAGAAGCTGGTGGAGCTGTTGATCACGGCCAGGATGTAGGCGTCCCTGCGGGCAGAGCGGGTCAGGGGGTGCCGGGGGGATGCCGGGGGACGTATCAGGGGGACACCCCGCAGCCGGCACAGCCCTACCTGTAGCAGTTGTTGTGGAAGCGGTTGTAGCTGCCCAGCGCGGTCAGGGCACCCAGCCCAATGGCGTAGGAGAAGAAGATCTGGGTGCCGGCGTCGATCCAGACCTAGGGTGCGGGGTACGGCGTCAGGGGGCGGGGAGGGTGCCGGGGGGGCGCCCAGCACCCAGCCCCCTCCTGCCCTCCCCGCCGCCCTCACCTGTGCCTCTGCCAGCTTGGACCAGTCGGGTTTCAGGTAGTAGACGATGCCACCCAGCGCCCCAGGCAGCGTCACACCGTGGACCAGCAGCAGGATGAGGACCACGTAGGGGAAGAGTGCCGTGAAGTAGACAATCTGCAGAGGAGTGGGTGCCAGTAAGACCCCCCGCGCCGGGGCTCTCCATCACGTGCCACAGGTGTCCCCGTGGGACCAGGGCTCGGGGACGTCCCCAGCAGCTGGTGGCACCTCCCAGACAGATGTGGGACAGGCGGTCTTGCAGCACAGGAGGGCAGGAGCCGGCAGTGCTGTGTGCCATGGTCCCGTCCCTGCCTGCCAGTGGCCCCGACGTGTCCCCCCTGCCCGCCAGCGTCACCTTCCCGGTCGACTTGACGCCCTTCCAGATGCAGAAGTAGACGACGACCCAGGTGGTGACCAAGCAGAGGATCATCTGCCAGTTCATCTCCCCCGGCTCGCTGAGGTCCCCCGAGAGCCGCAGCACCTTGTTCCTGCAGAGCAGGGCCATGCTGAGCGCCGGCGCGACCCCCTCGGCCCCGAGCAAGACCCCCCCAGTCCCCACACTCACTCCCAAAACTCGATGACGGGCGAGCGCTTGCTGGCCAGGTCGGCGCAGCTGAGGTTGAAGGGCCCAGTGCCGGCGCTGGCGTTGGCGCTGCCGTTGCGGCAGAGCTCGAGGTGGAAGAGCTCGGCGCACTGCTCGGTGTTCCAGGCGTGGCCACAGGTGGCCCAGGGCAAGGTGTCCGTCAGCGAGTGCACCAGGTAGAAGAGCCCCCACACCAGGATCATGATGTAGTAGGAGTTGCAGAAGAAGACGATCACCATGGAGGCCAAGCCCAGACCTGCGGCACGGGGAGATCACCCGGCGGGGTGGAGGAGCCGGCAGCCTGGGGTGGGACGGGGGGTGCTGGCAGGGATGGGGCAGGACATGGGGTGCTGGTGGGGACGCAGGGAGCCGGCAGCCCAGGGTAGGACAGCGGGGAGCCGACGGGGATGCGGGGAGCTGGCTGCTCCGGGCAGGACAGGGGGAGGTGGTGGGGTCGGGACAGGGGGAGCTGGCGGGACGGGAAAGGGGGAGGTGGCAGCCCCAGGCAGGACAGGATGGGGACAGCCAGCAGCATGACACAGGACAGCGGGGAGCCAGTGGGGCACTGCTGAGGTGGGGACGCCGGCAGCCCCTGGGGAAGCTGGCAGCAGGCAGGGAAGCCAGCAGCACGTCGGCAGGGAGCCAGGGGGGCAGGCAGGGCTGGGCAGGGCAGCGCACGGTGGCACGGGTGCAGGCAGCTGCCACCCTTGGCCGGGGTGCAGGGTAGCAGTGGGACGCGGGCAAGGTGCACAGGAGCAGGCAGGGTGTGGGCAGGGTGCTGCCAGCCCCACACAGGGTGCAGGGGGCCATGGGCAGGGTGCAAGGGGCCACGGGCAGGGTGCCAGGGGCCACGGGCAGGGTGTGGGCAGGGCGCAGGGTGTCAGGGGCCACAGGCAGGGTGCCAGGGGCCACAGGCAAGGCATGGGCAGGGTGCAGAGTGTCAGGGGCCACGGGCAGGGTGCAAGGGGCCACGGGCAGGGCACGGGCAGGGCGCAGGGTGCCGAGGGCCACAGGCAGGGCGCAGGCAGGGTGCGGGGGGCCACAGGCAGGGCGCGGGCAGGGTGCAGGCAGGGTGTGGCGTTACCCTTGAAGAGGGGGGCGATGTTCCAGGCGGCGATGCCCCCCTGCTTCATGAACTGCCCCAGGGCCACCTCCAAGAAGAAGACGGGGATGCCGCCCACGAAGACGATGAGCAGGTAGGGGATGAGGAAGACGCCTGGGGCCGAG